AGGTGGTGCACCACCCCGAATGTAGGCCGATTTTTGTGAATATTTTTTATTGGTGCAATTTATTCTCTGCCGAGATATATAGCCAGTAGCCCTCAAGGTGTGTATCGGTCTAAAACCCGAGATGCACCTGAAGGATGACGTAAGACCGCTGATCCCAGTAGCCGTTGAGACTCAGGTTGATTTGCAAAATCGGCCTGAGGATCAAGTCCAAGCTCGGCAGAATACTTCGGGACACTAAAAGCGTCGTGCTCAGTCCTCGAGATTCAGGTTGGGTGCGGCCGACCAACCTAAGGATCAAAATCTCCTCGAAAACTATATTGCACATAAAATTTTCTGCATTGGACAAGCAATGCAGTAGCCCCCGAGATACTGGTCGGGTGGTAACACCAGATCAGGGGATCAATGTGCCCTTTTAATATTTGTAAATAATAAGCCCGAAGCCCAGTAGCCCCCGAGCCTTAATGCGGGCACAGGTGGCCGAACTAAGGATCAATATCCATAGTAAAATCACAAATTATGTGTAATGACTCTATGTATCCAAGTACTTTACGTCATTAATGCTCGGATCCGCATTGTACAAAACTTTGTTAACCGACATCGGCTTCCACCTCCTCGGCCAGTAGCCGAGGAGTGTTTGTCCTACTTTATAAAGCCTTTATGAGGGCAAAGATTTACAACAAACAAGGCAATCTGGCCATACGGTTTTATAAACAAAGGTACGCAGAGAGTTATATTACTGTTTAACAGAAGAAATGTCTTCCAAAGAAAATAGTCCCGCTCTCGGTTCCTTTCTTTGGGTTGTCATGCTAAGCATGATCATTAAACCTCAACTCTAATATAAGAGCAAAATATTGAGGATTTAGTTTGGGAGGCCAGTTAATAGCCCTCGGTAGTGTTCGGCGACAGTTGGGGTCAAGCCGTAAACACTTCGGCCAATGTTATGAACGGCCCATCATTTAACATAGTCATCGGATCGCTGACCAATTTACGCTTATTGTGAAAGTCAGTTTTCGGCTTTCTCCACTGAGGTGCTTAACCATGTGAGCTGGAAGCACAATAGCAGTGGTTCTCACTTTGCACGCCTAGCCGAACAAAACGGAACGTAGGAAGCAAGTGCAAGAGCCGGGCAACCCAACTATTGACCAAAGACACAATTCGAAACCGATGCATATATAGCAATATCTGAGAATGTTTTTGCCGAATCCCTAAATGTGTCCGGCATTGCACTGCGAGACTAATGCTGGAAAAACACAAATAGTTTAAAAGTGCCAAAAAGCTTGGAAAACCAAGAAACGTCAGTAAAAACATGACGTCCGAACAATATCAAGTGTTCGGTGCCAATCCGAAAGTTGGTCTTAGAAAAAAGAAGTGCTTCTGTCGTGCTTTAACATGATACATCATATCTCAAGACTTCGAGCGGGTCAGCCTACGGCTTCAACCTCCTATCCCGAGGGCGGAGTACTTCTCATCAGGCCAGTTTAGCAAACTAAACTCTAGCGGCTTTGAGAGAGAAATTAGGCTCCCCGGCTAGTGACCGCACACTCGTGTCGAAAAAAGGAGTGATAAATAATAATAATAAAACTTTACAACGACTAAGAAGAAGAACACTTATTATAAAACGGCTCAAGTAAACTTAAGAGCCCCCAAGTGACTTGGGTAGAAGAATGATTGCATGTACCGAAGTACTTATATCATATCTATGTTCAACCGAACTTTAAACGCGTCTTAACCGACCGTCAGCTTCTCCCTCTTCGGTCAAGGACCGAAAAGTGTTATGTACTCCTTCGGTCGAGAATATCGACGGTGTTTCTAATAACCAGGCAATCAGGCCATAAGGCTGTAACAGACAAAGCGCGCTCAGGGAACTTATGCTATATTACCGTGAAGTGTAAGAAGCATCTTCGAAGAAAATAGTACCCCCACCGATACCTTCCTTCGGTGCCCATTGTTATTATGAGACTTGTGCAATAGATTTTTTTTACTCATGAGTTCCGTTGTGTGCCGACCATCATTGAAAACTATAAGAGCGCTAGCTTTCGGCTTCACCCAGTCTGAGGTCTGGCTCGGGCGACCCGATCGTGACAATCGCAGAGGTGCTCCCTTTACTCCCTAGCCGAACAATCGGGAATGTAGGGGTAAACACAGGAGCGAGGCAACCCAGCTTGCAAATCGCTTAAGTCAATATGGTGCATATTGTGGCGTAATACACGAACAAGGAACGAAGCCGTACAAGTAATCATATGCAAGTGGAAAAGCTTCATGAAGGAAGCCCCCAAATGAATTGGGTATTTGAATTTATGCGTCACAAACAAAGTTTGGACAAGGAAATTTTTTACAAGCAACTTTTTTCCAAAAAAGTATAATGCTTGGTCGAACCGAACACAAGTTAGAAATTAAAGCTTTGAGCATGAAAGCGACTTAGCTGGTTAATGTGTTCGGTATTGATGACGCGGTCCGAGCTTGATGCGGGGCAAGGTTCCATCCCCCAAGCTGGTCCCGAGGTGGCGGAGCGGAGAGCTCGACACGTCGAAGTGGTGACATAGCACGGTCAATGCAGACCGGCAGAGTGACGCCGAAGTCCCCGGATCATTTTCCTGTGCACAAAAATTAGTGCAAACCGGAGATAATAGTAATAATGATAATTAAAAAAATGTTGCATAATAAATAATTTATGCAAAGTGAGAAATAGAAGAAATATGGCCTGGCGCCGAAGTCAATGTCGATGCAGGGCATCGGCGTGATGTAGTAAAGGCGTGGCAAAGCCTGAATTCACAGGTCGGTCCGAGCTCCGGATGCGACGTTCGCCGGACTATGTACGGAAACTGATCGAACCACCACGCGACCGTCGTTGATGCGGTCACCATTTGATAGACCTGTGTACATATCATGGACAAACCAGAGTAATAATTCCTTAAGAAAAATGAACCCAAACAAGCAAAAAATATTGGGATTAATAGCACCTGGTTTATTTGTTATAGCAATCCGAAGGAAGGTGATTCCCAAAATTGGGACTCGCTCCGCACACCCATTGCCTGATGGGCGATAAAACGATGGCATGGCAATGCTGGTAAAGGTTGACTTGCCGAGGCAAAGCCCTCGGCCCAGCTAATGTGACGGAGCTGGTCGGCTAGTGACGCCGAAGTGTCCGGAGTAGGTTGATGAAGAGATGGCGAAGCCCCCGGTCCAGCCGAGATGTCGAAGCCTCGACGTCAGCCGATGAGTCGAAGTAGGTCGGCATGATGGACACCAGCTTGAAGAAGCAATAGTGCGGCCCTGTCGATGCAGGTCGTGACGTGGTCGATGCCGGCTTGATGAAGCGACCGTGCGGCGATGCCGGTATGCCCGCTCCGTGTAATCCGTGAGGCGGCGATGTTGATGATGATTTATCCTTCGCGATGCCGGACTCTTGTTCGGCTTGCCGAGATGATGATCCGAAGAAGTTGAGCTCGGCTAAAGTGACGACGTGTCTAGCGCAGGTCGGCAGCCGTGGAGTAATATTGCCGGACTGGTTTGACACCAGCATGATGTTGAAGATCATGTTCGAAAGATCTTAAAGTTAGTGGGATGTGTTCGGGAACAAAACACAATACCCCATACAAAACTTCCTTCAAAAGGGATATCCGAAATCCCGTTCATAAAAAAGATGAACTCGGGTCGGATTCGTTTTCGTGCAAAAAACAAATCCGAAAAGTGATGCACTAATCGGAAGGTTCCCGGAGTTTGGACGGTCGGATCGAGATGAAATTTTGAGAGGTGGTAGATATAGGAATTCCGCAACCGATCAACGGTTGGATCTTCCAAAGGACGTCCGAGCTAGAAGCTGGACACCACGCCCTAAACTCATCCAAATTCCCATCCAGATTTGACAGGGCTCCGGTATATCGTGGATTGCCAGAGATTCCTCCATCGGAACTCGACGAAATTTTTCAGGGTTGTTATAAACTCAATTCCGCACAATTCCACCAAAGCGATCGTCAAAGCGATACTCAAGGAGGTGGTGGCGGCAGATACGAGTTCGCTGTCCAAAAAAAAAAACAGCACGGTCGCTTGAGGGCAATGTTGACGTTGAGCCCCCGAGCTCCATAGATGATTCCTCCGTGATCTTGATAGAGATCGGAGTTGATGTTTGATGAAGGCCCTCGTCCGAACAAGGTGATCCGAACACGGGGCGCAATTCTTGGTCGAACCAAGGTGACCAGTCGAACTGGTGACGAAGACGCCGAAGTCGCAGTTGATCTGCAGGCGAGCCATCGATCCTTTTGTCGATCACACAGCGGAACTCTCAATGAAAGCACCAATGTCGGTGTCAAAACCGGCGGATCTCGGGTAGGGGGTCCCGAACTGTGCGTCTAGGCCGGATGGTAACAGGAGGCAAGGGACACGAAGTTTTACCCAGGTTCGGGCCCTCTTGATGGAGGTAAAACCCTACGTCCTGCTTAATTAATATTGATGATATGGGTAGTACAAGAGTAGATCTACCACGAGATCGGAGAGGCTAAACCCTAGAAGCTAGCCTATGGTATGATTGTTGTTCTGTATGTTGTCTATTCTATCGACTAGCCTGGCCCTGGTTTATATAATGCACCAGAGGCCTAGGTTAACAAGAGTCCTAGCCGAATACACCGGTGGGGAGAAGTCCTTGTCTTGATCGCCAAGTCTTTGTGGAATCTTCCTTGTATGCGGCAGCTGTCCGAACTGGCCCATGAATATACGGCCATGGGGGGCCCGGCCCAATCTAATAGATCGGGAGACGATGTGGTGAGTACCCCCTAGTCCAGGACACCGTCAGCCGGCCCTGGGCCAGGGCAGCAGGGGCGACGGCCCTGGGCCCAGCCAAACTAGGGGCCCCGACCTAGTGCTGCAACCTGCAGTGTATACATAGATATGGGCCTTGATAAATTGGTGCAAATAAGAAAATGCCTCTAGAAAGGAAGGCCCATCTTGTACAGAAGGCAGAAGCCCAACAGCCGAGTGGCCTGAACCTGAAGGCACACATGCACATGGCGAGCGATTTTGTTCCTCGTCAGACTACACACCGACGCCGGTTCGTTTTCTCGCCTGTTCGCCTCCACAGATCGGCCGATCGGGGCATCCGGCGACTGCGAATCTGCGACAGCTGCCACCGGCGGATGCTGGCACATAGGGTGCGTTGGCAAAGAATAGCAGGGGACAAAGGTAAATATCTAGATGAATTTCTCTCAGCCCTCAATCTTAATCTAGTGAATAGTCATTAATCTATAATCTTCTTTCTACGGCAGAGTTCCATCATCTGTTGCTGCCGACTTGGTCGTGAAGACCTGGACTTGTTGTAATCTTGTTTCCTTGATGATTGATGGATAGCTGAAGCATGAAGAACACGGATTGTCACTGATTTACTGCAACCTTCAGCCTTCAGGTGCCTTCACTCCTTTTCTTGCAAACATGCTGTCCAAAAAAGACGAAAAGAACAGATAATTCCATTGGATTGTAGAAGGGAGCTATGCATAAATATATTGTAAGGAATGAATCTACTGATAATCTTGAGGAATTAGATGGCGCTGGTGCTGAAGAACTACAACCTGCTGAGAATGAGACCACTGTTTCTGGAGCCGTTTCTCATGATTACTGAAGGCTTGGAGGTTTGTTAGCATGTCATTTCTTTTTGTTTATGCTCTGTAACTTCTATGATATATGATTCAGACCTTAAGTATGGCATTGTTATCATATATTATTTACCAAGACAAGGAAAATTACCACTGTTTATTGTAGCTTCGCAAAAAAAAATCTATCAATGCATGGAATTATATTTTTTGCCTCCAATTTCGCCACTGGGCCCATTCATTTGAGTTCGCCCCGGGGCCTCCGAAACTCCAGGACCGGCCCTGGGTATGAACACTCGCTGTTGATGTTTCTTCGGTAAGGCTATGGTTACAACACTTCAAGAGTCTGTTAGGCTTTTGCTGGTGCTGATGTTACGTGGCACTTTCTTTCCTGTACTTTGTATATATTTTGACTCTGACTCTGTTTATCCGTTATCACCAAAGATAGTGGGATCCGGTCTTTTGATTATATGGAATAGAAAAGATAACAGTGGGTGATTCCACAATTCTGACCATGCTAATGCAAAATAATGCAGCTTGGTTAGAAGATGATATTGTCTCCAAAGATCCAGAACTGTATCTGTATCCCGAGGAGGGTGAGATGGAGCTAGTTGCGAAGTGCAAGATTTTCCAAGGCCCAGTGAGTGTTTTATTTTATAATTGCTCTAAATGGTACACACGATCTAGAAGTTGGAACAACTTAAATATTGGAAACTACTGCAGGTTTTGGGGTTATCTTCCAATGATCTGCATCCGTATTGGATTGCTACTGCTGCTCCAGGTGAGAGCATCTATTCAACTATTTGCCTTATCACTTGTTCAGTTTCTTAGAGTTAGTCCTGGACTGATAGTCAGTTTAAAGTGAGTAAACAACATTCAACTGGTTGTTGGTTGGCACAAGATGCAAGTGTGCTGTTGGGATATAATCATAAATGTGGTAGTCTTGAGAGGTTATCCAGTTGGGTATTTTGATGATATCATGCTTAGTTCCTCTGGTGTTATGTAAACAGGTTTGTCTATGTTTTTTTCAGCTTAACGATTTCGGATCAGTGAAAGAGGAGAAGGTGCAGATGACATCCCTAAAATGGAATAAGATATACCCTACAGCCCTGGCTGCCACGAGCAGCAAAGGCACCACAAGTAATCTCTGTGTGTGTGTGTGTGTGTGTGTGTGTGTGTGTTCCTATCGCATGAATTATTTCACAGAGGTCTGGGATCTCAGAGCTGCAAAGCTGATGACAGCATTCGGCAATACAAAAGTCAAGAGCCTCTCAGATCTGGAGTTCAGCTGGAATAATCCCATGCACTTGGCCGTTTCAACCGCAAACAATGGTACTTCAGCAGCTGTGACGGTATGCCAAAAAATATTTTTTGTGACTTATTATGGGAGTCACTCTGTATTTAGTCTCTGATCAGTTGATATTTGGCTTCTCCTCAGGTTTGGGACATGAGATTCAGCCGCACGCCCTATCATGAGTACAGCACCGGTACCTCAGGTGTAAACTGTCTCTCTTGGAATCGGTCTGGCCAACTTCTTGCGTCTCATACCGACGGTACGATAAGCTGCTGTGATGTATACAGCAAGGAGGTAATATTGCAATGAACCATAACTTGCATAGTTTCACATTTCGAATTCATATAAAGCAGTAGTGATCTGTGTGTCAATTACAATGATACAGGGGTTGACTAGGGCTTGGCATGGTGATCTGGGTGTCACTTGGACACACTCTGAGAATGCATTTGCCACACTGTCCTCAAAGTATGGAGTCAGGCTGCATGAGATGTAAGTCGAATGATTTCCATTTCTTTTCGTTGTATTCTGCACCTCAAAGTATGGAGTCATTTGCACACTGTCCTCAAAGTGACCTTTACGAACTTTTAACAAATTTCGTTTTGTATTTTACTTTTGTAGGAGTGACCAGAGGATTTACCCGTGAACCTGTGATGACATGACTGAATAGTGATTGCTGGTGGAGAAGGAGATGCTTCAAAAGCCGAGCTAATGGATACTGGAGATTGAGAAAGAGAGAGAGAGAGAGTCGACAACCTTACGATGTAGGATGTAGAAAATACTAACAATACCATGCATTTGTTCGATGCAATTCTGTTCGAGGCAACTTAACACGCTTTCTTCCGCATGTCCCACAAGGAGATAGGAAAAGGAGATGGGGGCTCACGTGTACAGCCCTTGATTTACTGGTTTTCGATACCTGTATATGCAAGTGAGATAGATTTACAAGTTTGATTGATTGATTGATTAATCAGTTCCGCATTGGTTCTGGTTGGGCGTGTTGCTCGGTTGTACTCACGTCACGTACGACTAGTTTAACCTCCGAACACGTACGGTAGGAATGTACGGATTGGTTGAGGTGATGTTGCAGGGTGAGCTCTTTGTGTTAACATGTACTCCTTCCGTCCCATAATATAAGAACATTTTTTACACTAGTTTTTTTTGAGGGGGCATTTTTTACACTAGTGTAGTGTCAAAAACACTCTTATATTGTGGAACGGAGGGAGTATATTGCTAGAACTCTATGTTGCGGCCTATTCATCTTGTTAAGCTAGGATTCTCATGTTAGCCTCCCGATGTAATCCTTCCTTGTCCCTCACGTTGTGGCGATCCTTCTCATGGTCGTACTCCTCTGTCTATTGGGTCTGGCGCCCCATCTATATAATATGATCGTTGTGATTAAGGAAGGGTGTTAACATGTATATTCCCAGGACTCTATATGTTGCGGCCTAGTCATCTTGTTAAGCTAGGATTCTCATGTTAGCCTCCCGATGTAATCCTTCCTTGTCCCTCACGTTGTAGTGATCCTTCTCATGATCGTACTCCTCCTCTATATGTGCTATTGGGTCTGGCGCCCCACCTATATAACACGAAACCATCGGCTAGAACCAGCATGACGTTCTACCAAAGTTGATACTACGTGTCGGTGGTAAAACCGACATACCACAGGGTAGGGGGTCCCCGAGCTGTGGATCTCAGATCGATGGGTAACAAGGGATGAAGGAGACAGTATTTACCCAGGTCCAGGCCCTCTCGAAGAGGTAATAACCTACGCCCTGCTTTGATTGTATTAATGGTTGTGTACCGAGTACAGGCTTGATCTACCTCAAGATCGTAAGTTGTGTTCTAAGTACACGTCAAGTCTTCCGCAGATCCCATCTTGATCACGTCGAGGTATGAGGCTTTCGGAGTCCTTCCTTTTGAAAATGGTGGCCCATAAGCTTGGCCAAGGACCGTGGGCCAACTAGGTTGGTACCCCCTACTCCAGGATACGGTCAGTGGTCCCCGAACTGGTCTTCGTCACCGAGGACGACACCCCTCTTCGGTTGAGTGACTTCGGCTTTGGAGTCTTCGGCTTGAGAGGACGAGTTCCCATGTATTGTTTCGAGTTCGGCTTAGAAGTCTTTGGGTCGTTCGACGAGTTTTACTTAGTGTTCGAACCTACCGCACGCGGCTTTCGGGCCCTTCCCTCGATCACCGTGCAGTCTGGGGAATCAGGCTGCTTTATGGTAGGATGCCGAAACGTCACCCCCTTTCCTCTTTATTTAACAGGTAAACAGTCCAAAGTTACAGCAAAGCGCATCTTGACCTTCCCTCTTCGCATCCTGGCACAAATTCTTTCCCTTCTCCCCCAAGGTCTAGCCTCGAGAGTATTTCCAGAAATGGCGAGTGACGCAGGCTCCTCGAAGCGATCCCACGACCCCCTCAAGGGTGACTGGGGGAGCTGCTCCCTTACACACCTTCAGCTGGAGCGACTTGCCACCCAAGGCTACCTGCCGGATTTAGATGTTGCTTCCACTTATCTGGGCCTAATATCCGTGGAAGGGCAGGTGCATGCTGATAACCACCTCATCCCTCACGGGGACGAGCGTGTATGTTTTGTTCCATTTCTCCTCCATGGCCTGGGGTTTCCTATCCACCCCTTTTTGCGTGGCCTACTCAAATTCTACGGGAGCCAACTCCATCACCTCACCCCAACTCAATTTTACACATTGCAGGGTTCGTCGCCCTATGTGAAATGCACCTCGGATGTGCGGCGCACTTCCGGCTGTGGAGGAAGTATTTCTACGTGATGCCCCGCTCCCGAGTCGGAAAGCTACACGAACTGGGCGCGACTGAGGTCTGCCGGATAGCTGGGACTGACTACCCCGTATGCACCCCTCGAGAGGATGTCGACATCTAGGTGTCTGAATGGTTTTATATGGATGATGTCCCGCTGCATGACCCGGTCCGGCCTGGGCTCCCAACATTCTCCTCGGAGCCCCCGAAGAAGTGTTACAACTGGAGGCCACAGAGTGCCACTCAAGAGGACGATGCCAACGTGGCTCGCCTAGCGGCTCAAGTAAAGCTTTTATCAAGCATCAGCCTCACTATCATAGATGTGATGGCAACGATGATCAACCGAAGAGTCGAACCTCTTCGACAACGTCAGCACCTGTTGTGTATGTACAACGGAACCGACGATGCCACCCGATCAATTTGGGAAGGCTTCAAAGATCAGACGGCCTTTGGGACAGCCCTGGATGGATTATACCAGGGAGAGGCGGCGAAATTTGAGAAGCGGAAGTTCATAGATGGGCTGTCTTACTACAACCTCGCCGATATAGTAAGTTTTCCTAAATTTCCTTGTCCATCCAAGCTGTTTCATTTTTTCTCTTCTGATCAATCATCCAATATATCCGAACAGAGATGGAGGCGCTGGGTCAGGACCCTGAGTTGCCCCGTGCCCGAGCCCGGGGCGTATCAACGCGATAATGATCCCAGCTTCGATGAAGACAAAGAATTATCCATCATATATGAGGGAGGGGGGCATTTTACCAAGAGAGCCTTGATGGCTCAAAAGTGGCTATCATTCCTATTTTGTCGGGAATGCGACCGGCTTCGTTGGTAAAACCCTCTCCTGTAGGAGACATGCCCCAGAGGCAATAATAATTCTATTATTTATCTCCATGTTCATAATATGTTTATGTTTCATGCTATAACTGCTATGGTTCTCGAGTCTGCAATAACACGAGGCTCGGAGGAAGACTCATATGCACGTGTGGAATAATAAACGGTAAGAAGTATTCCTAGTCTAGCCTCTAAGACTAGCTCAAGTGTTGCATGATGGTTCTGTTTTCCTGATCATGGGCATGTCTATGCTAGCAATTTTGAGGGCACAATGTTAAGAGAACATTTGTGTTGAATCGACCCGGATTGATGTTATGCTATGAGATTCATTCGTCACAAGTTAATGGTACATAACATAGAGATGGTTAACGTTTGCATGATTCCTTAGACCATGAGAGTATTGAGTTTCTTCATGCTTGCATCATGAACTTTGGGGTTTGTTAAACGTCATCCGTAAAAGGGTGGCTATTACGGCGGCTTACGGGTTCATGGAAAAGTATGTCAAGTAACTTGATAGCTCAAGATTGGGATTTGCTCCTCCGACGATGGAGAGATATCTCTGGGACCTCTCGGTGTTACAGTATCCATCATCGTCTGGCCAGACACTTTGTGATTTGATCACGGGGATGCCGGAACATGGGAACGAGAAAAGAGAACAATACCGGTAACGAGGTAACTGGCATACTGGACAAGTTGTTGATCCATGGGGATGCCAACATGTCTCACCTCGGGTATTTGTAACATATCACAAAGCAACATGAATAGCACATGACAAATGGAGGTTCACTTGAATATTCATTCGTGTGGGTATAGGGGTCAATATGGGTGTCCATGGCTCCGATGTTGATCATTGATCGGAAAGTGTTCCGGTCATGTCTATGCTTCACCGAACCTATAGGGTCACACACTTAAGGGTCATATATCTACTGAATACTAGACAGGGAGTCTGAGAGAAATTTGCCAAAAAAGTTTCAGAGACAATGGAGGAGTTCTGGAGAGAGAATAGCGAAATAGTTTCATAAAACCGAAAAGTTGTTTCGGGATATATGTAACGCCCACGATGCGGCTATATCTCCCACGTGTCGAGGCACGACTTAGAGGCATAACCACATTGTGGTTTTGTTGCAAGAAGGGTCATCTTCACACAATCCCATGTAATGAACAAGAAAGGGATAAATAGAGTTGGCTTACAATCGCCACATTACACAATGATCATATAATTCATACATCATCCAAAGTACACACATAGTCCGACTACGGACAAATCCGAATGAAAAGAAGATAACCCCAAATGCTAGATCCCCGATCGTCCCAACTGGGCTCCACTACTAATCATCAGGAAAAGAAACATAGTAACGACCAAGGTCCTCGTTGAACTCCCACTTGAGTTCGGTAGCATCATCCGCATCGGTATCATCAGCACCTGCAACTGTTTTGGTAGTATCTGTGAGTCACGAGGACTCAACAATCTCAAAACCCACGAGGTCAAGACTATTTAAGCTTATGGGTAGGATACAGTAATGAGGTGGAGCTGCAGCAAGCGCTAAGCAAATATGGTGGCTAACATACGAGTACAAGAGTAAGATGAGAAGCTACGCAACAGTCATAAAGTAGAAGCGATCAAGAAGTGATCCTGAACTACTTACGTTCAAACATAACCCTATTGTGTTCACTTCCCGAACCTCATCGGAAAGAGACCATCACGGTTACACACGCGGTTGGTGTCTTTTAATTAAGTCAAGTTCAAGTTCTCTACAACCGGATATTAACAAATTCCCATCTGCCACATAACCGCGGGCACGACTCTTGAAAGTTTAACCCTGCAGGGGTGTACCAACTTAGCCCATGACAAGCTCACGATCTGCGGAGACAATCCTCCATCGCAGACCCTCCGATCAGACTCGGAATCCTGATGCACAAGATATTTTGACAATGGTAAAACTAGTCCAGCAAGACCTCCCGATGCACCGACCTAGCCTGATAGGAGTAGCGCGATCTCATTCTCAGGGTACACCGGTTGAGCTAAGCGTACATGTA